GGGGTCTTTTTTGGGTGTCCGGGGGGGTGAGCGAGGTGTGGAGGTGGGTGGCAGTGCTGCGCCGGGGTGAGCTCTGCACTGCGTTGGGAGAGGGGCTTGCGGTGGGCAGATCGCCTCTCTACATCATCCATTATCGACTGCAAGATTCCCAGGAGCCTGGAAAGATCACTTTGCGTTGTGTGCCAGGAGCTGGGCCTGCCCTTCCCTCCCGACGTGTCCGCTCAGTGTCCGGCTTCGTCTGCGCTATTGACAGGAGAATTAAGCCCCACTTGCAGTTTGGTACTTGGCTTGGTGCGAGGAATTTTCTACCCAGGGAGCTGCGAGTGGATGGGGATGTATGCCTCCTGTCTCTGTTTAGTTACTGAAAACTAGCAAGGCATCGAAAAGAGCTGTGTAATGATGGCTGGGGAAATGAGATTAGTCTCTTTCTAGAAGGAACAGCCTTGATAGAGCGGTGCCAACACTTTTTTCTGTGCTTAGGATGGGACCAAAGCAATCAAAGAGCTCAGTATCTGCTCACGTGTGTCGGTGAGGTAGGCTGAAATGCTCTGAGGGTAACAAGAACTGGCAGCGTAACCTATTTCTGCGGGAACTATAAAATCCTGTACATAAAATGGAACTGATGGAAGTAATTGATCCAGATTTTCTTTTCCTTCTGCCTTTGGGTTAAAGTCAAGCTGCTTAAGAGAGCTCTCTGGTGTGCCCACCCTTGCCTTTGCTGTTCTGTTAAATGTAAGCTGTTCTCCGCATTGAAGCGGACAGGATTTTGATTTAACAGAGTCTGTGTTTAAGCTGCCTCCTTTCTTCAAGTCCTCCAAAACTGTTGTTGACCCCATCGCCTGTCAGCAGCCTCTGTTGCAGGTATTAAGTTCAGCTAGGATGGCAGCCAAGCAGTTGCCACTGCAACTAATGTCGTCAGAGAACAGTGTTTATCTGTCACTGACTGAAGCCTGATTTTGAACACGCCATATACAATAATCTCAATGATTTGTCCGGTTTATGTTCCTTCTACTCCAGGGAGTTCTGCTGAATAACACTGCCATGAACAAACCTGTTTCAGTTGAAAAGTTAGTCAAACTTATCCGTGCTTGCTAGGTTGACAGTTGGTCTCATTCACTCCCCGTATCTCTTGTGTTTCTGGTTAATCTTAAAAAGTATTTTAATTAGCTAGTAATCTCTGCCCTTGAAGTGTTAATGCCGGTCTGTAAGAGCGTGGCTTGGGCTGTGGGATGTGAAGCAGAATGGCTTTCAGGTTCTCGGTCTTTGCAGTCAGGTGAAGGCTTTGCATACTCCTTGCCTTAGTTCTGCTTGATTCACCACCAGCTTAAAACCATGATTCACGTGAGTTGCATTTCCTTACTAGGCTCGTAAAAAGGCGCACGGATATATTTCATGCACACAAACTTAATATGGGCTAATGGAGAGCTGAGTGATGTTATTGCTGAGTGACGGGACAGGTAGTGTGTCCTGTGCGTTAGCATACCAGCAATGAGTTGGGCTGATCTAAGCTCTTCCTCTCCCATGAGCAGCACCTCTCCCGAGGTAGGTGTCTGTTAAAGCTGTGATGCAACACTAAATCTTCTCTCTGAGAGGTGTTTATAAGATGGAGATGGCCTGGAAAGCCCCGGCCCGCTGAAAAGAACGGGAGAGGTTAAAATTGAGTTCACTGAATCTGAAAGTAGGCAGGGTATAAGTAGATGCAACTGCCTCTAAAAGCAACTGCGTCTGTTTACTTTGGCTCGGAGGTGTACTTTAGCCTGGTTTATAATATCTGTGCTATTAATATTTATGTCTGAGGAGAGGTGAACTTTATCCTGAAAACTGGCACAGAGAGCAGTGAAATGTCTAGGTACCCAAGAACCTACCAACAGCTTCTGCAACAATGGGTGCGGCATAATCAAAATAGAAGACTGTAATTCGGTAATACTAGAACGCACAGCGTAAGCTGATGCTGCCAGGCTTCAGCTAGTCTTAGGTCTCAAGTACTTGTTGACAACTTCCTCTTCTGGGATCTCGCAGAAATAGTACAGGATATTTAGTCATTAACTTGGGTGGTGTAATTTGATGCCATAAATTTATGAGATTAAATGTCTACTTTAATGGGCAAAAAATGAGGGGGGGTGGGGTATGGGGTCCGTCTCCTTTAACACTTTCTAGGAGTCCCAGGCAGCGTGCATGCAGTGTTTGTCACCTTGGGTTAAAGAGCAAAGTATCATCTGTCAAAGGAGAGGTTTTACTTTTGATAATGCTGTCCCATTTGAAAACTGCTTTGCCTGAATTTGCTTTTGTGGCTTTTACTGACATGCAGTCCCTCTCTTCAGTGGTGGAGAAATAAAGTAATAACAGCATTCAGTGTGGATGTTTGAACAGACTTTTTTTTAATCTCTTGCAGAGCAAAGAGTGGAAGATGTACGACTGATTCGAGATCAGCATCCAACTAAAATACCAGTAAGTGTGGTCCTTTTCATTTTTCATTTCAATTTCCAGTCTCATGTTCTTTTTAGTAGTTAGAAACCTGTAAAAGAGCTGTCCTGATGAGACCAAATTAAAATTTGGCTGTTCAGGGTCATTAACCCTGGATTTGAGAAACACGCTCAAAGTAGTAACCAGCAGTCAGTGTGGTAGAGCAAGGTGCTAGCTGGGGACTGGAGGAAATGGGTTTTCCTGTGTACTGAAGTTGCGTGTTGTAACTTCAAAGAAAACCACACCCTGGCTGAGCTCTGAGATTCTCCTGAGTGTTCAGCCCTTCTCATCTCAGTGTTTTTCTTCTCCGAAAGAAGAGTCTGCAAAGGCTAACCAAGAAGAATACACAGTAATGTAGAGACAGATACGGGTTTTGTCACCAATCTGTGCTGAGAAAGACAGAAACGCTTGCCTTCCGGGAAACGGGCCTTTGCTTGAGGTCTCCAAAAATGCTGCTTGGCTGTCAAACCCCTCCACCTAGTGTTGGGCCACCTCAAAGAGGGGATCAGCCCTCACCTTGTCACTCTTCTTTAGCTGGTCGGCTCCAAATGCTGCCTGAATTTTTATTTTCTTTTATTTATGGCATCCTCAAGGTTAGAAATGCAAAGCAAAAGGCGTGGATCGTAATCTATTGCTGATGAGTTCTTCACAACTGGTGGGCTTCTGTGTGACAGCTGTCACCGCAGTAAGCAATAAATGCAACCGTCCTAATGGCTATTTGGTGGAAAAGGGAAAGTCTCAGGAGATCTTGGGGGGCAGAAGAGAGAAATTAATTGGAGGCCTCAGCCTTTGGTTCTCAGTGATGAGAGCTGGTGATCCCTGTGAGTGGAAATTCTTCTGTGAACAAACTGCTTGCAAACTGTCTGCAGTTCCAGTGCAAGTTCATTAACAGAAGCAATTGTTGCCTCCACGTCAAATAGAAACCGAAAGGTTTTCAGTTTCCCTTTAGCTTTAAAGTACTTCACCTCGAAGCTGCTGCTGCTGGTTTGCTATGCTGTTGGGCATGGGAACAAGTAATATTTTATAGCAGACATTTTCTGACTTTTCTGGAATGTGCAGTTTTCCTAAAAGACCCTTTCCTAACAAATCTCTTTCCAGTCAGAAGATTGCTTTTTCACCCACCTTTCACAGATCACTTATCTGTAGTCCCCAAGCTCTGTGACCACAGATTGAAAGCCATTGATTTATAGCAAAGCTCTCACTTTAAGTCAGCCATGGACATATTACTAGCAAAAATTCAGAGGCGCCTAAGCAGCTTGCTGAAGATGCAGTGATGCAAACTCACAGCTATGGCAGAGGCCTGCTGGGAGCCCTGGAGGCTTGCTGTGGTTGCCTGTCCATGTCCTGGCTTGAGTCACTGCCTCGTTATTATCATTAGCAGTTCTGGATGAGATAAGATGGCAATGTCACGCTAGATGGTAAATCCTTCCTGTGCTGTCAACATCCTTCATTTTGCTGTTGGAAATATTATCTATTGGTTATGGTCTACCTTTTTAAAAATAGTGTTGGTTTTTTTCCAGAATGAGCCAGCATTTATTTAAACTGGTGTAAGGAAGTCTTTTTCTGATATAATTAAATTGGCTCAATATCTCTTCACCTATGCAACTTTTGAATATCAACACAGCCAGACCCCGTGAGCATGGAAATGATCCAAGTGAATGGTGTCACGTAGCTACCGTTGATATAAAAACAACAAAACCCACATGGCTGTGGAAACGGGAGCGCACAAAGTCTGAGATCATTTCTTAAAAGCAGGAACTATACAGTTGCTGGGCAGGGTGCTACTTAAATTGGCAAATCTGCAATTTCCTCGTGAATTAAGTAGTTACTACATAACAATCTTGACAGAATTACTGGTTCCTAAGCGTGCTGTCTTGAGATTGAGGAGGAAATTCTCTCCTTTGAGGCTATATAACTTCAAAAGTAGCTGTCTTTCATGCATTAGAGTTACCATGGAAGGTGAATGGAGTAGCATACTAATCTGGAGGTGTAGTTCTTAGAAAGAGATGGCCTGAAACTGGAGAAGTTCTAGTGAAAACTGGTTCAGTTTGCAGACTTCGGTAGCAGCCCAAGCCCTTAGCCACTGTAATGTGTTAGAGGGAAGTGTGCTTTATCTTTTCTTAGGTTTCCTTGTTGCTGGGTAATTCAGTGCTAGATTAAATGATTCCAGCAAATTAACTGTTCTAAAACTGCACTGGAGCTGTGGATGTTTGCTGTTCAATCCCTGTTTGTTACCCTTTCGTGCAGTGACTCTTGCAAACAGAACAAGAGGGGCACATGAAGATAAATATAATTGTTCCTTTTCAGTTTCAAGATACTGCATTCACAGATGAAGGGAAATGGAGTTTAGCATAAGTACTAATGTACTTTGCTGTGTGTAAAATGGAAGGAGGAGATAAGGGCACCAGACACCGTTTCTGCCTTTCACATCCTCTGCTCCTTTCTTTTTGTGTTTCTTTTTAGGTGATCATTGAAAGGTACAAGGGAGAGAAGCAGCTTCCAGTTTTGGATAAGACCAAGTTCCTGGTGCCAGATCACGTCAACATGAGCGAGCTAATCAAAATTATCAGGTAGTATGCTGTGATTTCAGTGTAAGCTGCATCAACCTCAGCCTATGATTCTTTGTTAATTCCCCACCTGGTATGCATTTGGGAATTATTTAAATGGAAAATTCATCTGAGGAGCGCTTGGTATCATCACTAGGACAAATTAATGAGAAGGTTCTTTTCCTTTGGCTTTGCTGGAAAAAAACTGAAAAGAGTTGAGCTGTTAGTCTGCTTTCAACTGGTTCCAGAGATGTAGGAGGGAGTCTGGGGCCGTGAATCCCTGTCTAACATGGGTGCTTCTGGCCCAGGGCCCCAGCACTTCCTGCTTGGCTATTTTAAGATGCCTTCTTGGTGTTCTGCGTGGGAGTCCTTCTCCGGAGTGCCTGCCTCTTCCCACCCACTGGAGGGGGAGTTTGGTCTCATAGCCAGAGCTCTGAGCTGTTGCTTAGGGTTGATGTTGGCATCCTTTGATCGTGAAATGAGGTTTCCCTCAATGACAGTGTTGAGGCCTGAAAAATACACGTTCAGACCAGTGTTGTTTTGTCCCAGCTGTTTGCACAGACTGTGGCTTGAGTACTGCTCCGCTCTGGTGCTTGAGCTTTGCTTACAAGAAAAGGCAAAGGGGAAGTAGCCATGGAGTGGAAGTTGTGTGGTCTGAAATTGCGGTCAGAAATTCTGCTAGAAGTGCATTTCTCCTGGCTTAATGTCAAGAAGGAATATTTGATTAGTAAGAGTTCTCAAGCGGTAAACTTGGAAGTTAGTAGCAAACCAGAGTTTGGTTTTTGTTGGTCACGGTGTAGCAGGGAGCTGGTTCTTGGAGGCCACAAGCTGTAAAAACTGAGAGTTGTCCCACGTGTCCAAACAATTCCCTGCCTCGGAGGCTTGTACAAAAACTGTCGCAAGCAAATCCCAGCTCTTACATGAGTAAGAGAGATAGGGTTTTGGAAGCAGGAACCAGATTGCTCAAGTCTTCCAGAATTTTTCATGAACATTAAAGGCCCTGGGCAAAAAGGTTAACAACAAGCTGAAGGATTTTCCCCACCTTTTTTCTTTGGCTTCATTGTTACTTGGTACCAGCTGGACTCGCTCCTCAGCCAGCTCCTCTTGTGCATAGCAAAGCCTGTCCTTCCCAACCCTCAGATAGCTGCTGCCTTCTCTCAGCCTGCTGTCTCTGGAGTGATTAGATCTTGGTTTTGGAAGGGTTCCTTTGCAGGGCTGTGGCTGGGAGGCTAAATAAATCCTCGTTTCCAGCTGCTGCTGCCCCTCGGAGTGGCAGGAAGCTCTTCTGATCTCTTGTTCTTTCCTTCTTTCTTTGGCTGCACCTCCACATATCTGAGTTCCTCTTGCTTACTTGGTTTATGAAGTAGTAAGAGAGCTCCTCTCTGCAAGCCTGCTTTCCAGTAGCCAGTTTAGCAGAAATACCTATTTCCCCCCAACCAGAGTGAATGATTCAAGGGAAACCCCAAAGTTAGATGTTTACTGTGCCATGCAGTCTGTGAAGTCTGTCACTCTCTGCCCTTCCCACAATGCTTCTCCTGGGAGGGAGGAGAAGAGGGGGGAAAGATGCTCCAAAGGTTGAACAGGCTGTTACAGAGCTGGTGATGAAATGAGTTTAAAAGGTCCAGGGCCTTCTCACGGAAGCTCTGCCCGTCCTCCCTCCCCGTCTTCACGCAGATCTCTCAAGGTCAGCCGGGGTTTACATTTCCAGTGAAATGCTGTTGAGCTCAGCTGCAAGCCAAAGGTGCCGCAGGCCTTGCGTGTTTGCTGGTTGTACGGGGATCATCCTGGCAAGGAGTACCTCTTTCTTTTCGCTTCAGTTTAATGCCCTTCTGGAGCGTAGCTTTTCCAGTGAAATAAGGGCTTCTGTCAGTAGATGTGTTTGACTGGACTTAGTATATGAATTTAATACAACTTTGAGGTGGGAAGCAAATGCCTTCTCCAGTGGCAGAGCTGCTTTGGGTGGGGACATCTTACTGCTGTCAGTGGTGGAGGACTTTGTTTTGCCGTCTGCCCTAAAGCCTTTGTTAATGGGAGTGGAAATGCACGGTCCTGACTGTGAACCTCCTTCCCCCCCCCGCCTCCCCCCAACAGGCGACGCCTGCAGCTGAACTCCAACCAGGCGTTCTTCCTCCTGGTGAACGGACACAGCATGGTGAGCGTTTCCACACCCATATCCGAGGTGTACGAGAGCGAGAAGGACGAGGATGGGTTCCTGTACATGGTGTACGCCTCTCAGGAGACTTTCGGAGCGCAATCTTCTGTCTAAGACACGCAAGCGGCTTCTAGCCTAGGATTTTGGTTTACCCTTGGCCATCACCCCCCCTCTTCCCCACACACACCCCAGGGAAAGAAACGGATGTCACCTACGCTCTCAGTACCTTAGCATAGTCTTGCTTTAGCAGGTGTCTCATCTTACCTTGCCTTGTTTGTGACTATTAAACAATACAGACGAGCACCTCCAGCTTTGAAACCTGCTGTAATATTCCACACAGGCACATTTACATTTCTGGACTTTATGAATGGAACCCAATTGTGCATGTGACAATTGCAAATAAAGGGACACTCGATTGACTTTAAACAAGCAAACAGGCACCAGGGAGGAGCTAAAGTGTTTTGTGTGACAGTTTTCTGGAAAATCGCCCTATGATTCCTTAAAACCTTTTTTTTTTTTTTTTTTTTTTTCAAAATGGAAAGGCTTCTTATGAGAGCAAATATGTTTTAATGTTCCAAAGCGGAGCTTTGTCTTCTGCAGCTCGATGAGACACGTGTCAGGGCTGCAGTGAGTTAAGGCAAGTGGTTGGGGTGAGCTGGGGGAGTACAACTCTTTTTGTCTCTGTTTTTTTGTGGCACCGCAAACTTAGGAGTGGTGCCAGTTTCTGAAATACTCATACCAAACACCACAGCTTTATTGTAGTTTTAGGAAGTGTTTAACTGTAAAATACACACCTGGACAGGTAACATTGAAATAAACTCCAGTCTGTTAAGAATTTCCAATGCCTGTGTGTTCAGTGAAACACTCTTGTTCACATGGGCTCGCTTCCAACAGATCATCCCCCCCGTAGCCCGGAGGTTTGCCGTTCCCTTGCCCGGCAGAGAGTCTGCTGGGAGGAGGTAGTCGGGGTACCCGCTGCCAGCACACGGGGCTGTCAGGATGCGTGCAGCCGGCCGCAGAGCGGGCTAGTGCAATCAGAGACACGAGCAGCGCCCGTGTCGCTCGCGGTCTCGGGCGCGCCGCCCATCCTCGCCCTCTCCGTCTGCTCGGCAGGGCGGGCGCATTGAAGCCCTCCGACGCGAGCGGGCGAACGGCTTTGTTTTACACACCTCCGTACCCAACATTGGACTCGGACATGCCGCTGGAATTACCAACCCACACTGCCTAACCAGTCTGTCGCTTGTTTTGCATGTTACCACCGAGGGGGTGAGGGAGAACTGCTTTTAGAAGCAGCTCACGTCCAGGAGTTGCTGTCGAGAGTTGACGAACAAATTATTTTTTCCATTGCTGAAGTCTCCTGCCGCTTTCGTGGGGTTTGGAAGATCTCGGTGTTACTACTGTCCTGAGCAGGGAGGCAGCCTGTGCAGAGGAAAGGTATCTCGTAGGACCTGTGTTTTTCCTCTAGAGTCGTTGTCAAGTGAAGTGTAGCAGGATGAGATTACTCTTGTATATTACGTGTCTGTGAACTAACTACATCTGTTACTGGAAGCTAACTTACTATAACGGGGGAAAAAGAAGCAATACTACTGCGTCTTGGCACTCTAGCTCAATAAGGTGTACAATTTGTACCTACCTACACCTCTTTGCATGCATCTCGTTCACAATGCTTACTTCAGATTTTTTATTGTTCTTTGTGTTTTTACTCCAACGTAAACTTTTAAATGCAGCTTGTTCTCTGTTTAGTTTTGTTCGTGTAAGAAATTGTTTAACTCATAACTGACAACCATACTTGTAATTACAACGTGATTGACTGATATTCCTGTACAAATGTTGCTTTTTTAAAATTAATACAGTGCTGATATGGATGGATTACATCCCAACTTAATTATGGCTTGTGTGGTTATTTCTAGACAGCTTGCTTAAATCGAATCTCTGTAGGGAAGGGCAGAGACAGGTCTGTTCCACCTGCTCTGGGATGCACAAGGTGGTGAACTAGGTCCTGCCGACGACGACTAGACACTTGCACTGAAACCTCTGATACTGATGATCATTAACAACTTGGAGAAGGAGCTGCCACCCTCCAGGAGGAGGAATTTCAGTTCTAATCGCCCTGTACAACAGCTCTGCTGTCTAGATGGGTACGGACCAGGGTGTGCCTGCCCAGGGATCGGTTTCCATATCCCCATTTTGTTTCTGCTCCTGCTCGACCAGCTTCTCCCTCACGGCTTCAGAATCCTGACGCTCTCGCGAGCAGGACTCTGCTCGTCAGGAACGACCCCAGGCACCGGCCACAGAAGGTTCAAGGATGCAGCGAGCTGGCGATTCCTTTTGCTTACCTGTGCCTTCCTCTGCCGGCAGCGCAGACGTCCCCTTGCGTGAGGGGCGAGCCGAGGTGGCAGAGCGGAGCCCGGAGGCTCGGCTGCTGCGTTCCTGCGGAACAGGGCGCAAAGCTTCCCTGCTCGTCCTCCCGGCAGCTCCTCCTTCACTGTGAAATCGGGCGCGGGCTTGGGTAGGCAGCTGGAGTCGGGCCACGGCCTCTCTCGGTAACAAACCCTTTCAGGGCAGCTCGGGTTCCTTGGCTCAGCCGGGAGCTGAGTCAAGGAGAGGAGAGCAATTGCAAGCACTGTAATAGATCCGTGATTCACGAGCAGATGTCTGTGGGTGGAGAGACAGCAAAAGTAATAAAGAGCATTTAAAAAAATAAAAAGACCCTGGTAACTGCCAAGCTGGAGAAGCCCCCACACAGATGAAGCTCCTTTAAATTAAAAAAATACAAAGGGATTCTGTTTAACTCTTTATTTTCCATACATTAAATTTACTCAGATAAAAACATTCTAAAAATGTACAATTTTACTTTTAACAAAGTATAATAAAACATAAAAATCCCAATACCAGAATACTTGACATTTACAATTCAAAATCAAATTAGCTGAATATTAAATATTTACAAAACTATTTAAAATATTTATAAAGTTACATGCACAATTTGTAATACTAGAATTGACTGAAGTAAAAGAAATGGCTCAAATGGGAGCAGGAGTTTCCTTCATTCCTAGTGGAAAGTTATGTCCAAGAGAAGCTGTTAATCTGCACTTGAAAACACACAGGATTTGCTTTCTGCTTCAGTACCAACACGTTTCTTGCTTACGTAAGAAAAATTTAAGAGAGCAAACAGGTAGTTCCAAGGGTTTATTACAGGAGAGGGCGGTGGGCAGGGGCGGTGGGCAGGGTTACCGGGGCCTCAACCAGCACAAGTGTTTTCCCGACTCTTCCAAGTGCTCAGTTACAAGGAGTTCTGTCCAGATTTGTCCGCACCCATCTCATTTAACAGGCGTTCTAGACTACTCCGAATCCACAGCTCCGAGTGTCCGTGACCTCCATAAACAAACAGCCAGCTAACCCATCTGCAGGGGTTTCGGATGATGGCATTTTTATTCTGGGGAGGAGTGCTGCTCTGCCGAATACCACAGACTACGTTTCATTTTTGAGTACCTTCACCCTGAAGCCTACCAGCGAGAAATAGCATGAAACGGAATTTTGGGTAACGGTAAAGGTCTAGCGTTAGACCGTTATTTTTGGAAGTCTGGCGCTTAATTTGCCAAGATTTAATGACTGTGGTATGAAAAAGTTTCACAAAAAGTGGAGTGTGACATGTTATTTTAAGGAGAAGTATTGGGGAACTCTCTGATCAATACCTCACTTGCTAAAATGAGGTTTCCCTCTTCGCTCTCCTGCTGTTCAGCATCGAGCCTGGCCTATTTATTAATGCTTAATTTGCAGACTGCCAGTGCGAGGAGGAGTTTGCTGGAAATTCCATCCTATTTCGAGTGTTTCCATCACCAACGCTCCCAAACGGAAAACACTTCTGAAACTGCACCGCATGTCGCTCGCTCTCCCGAGGGAAGACTCATCGCTAACTTCCCCGTGCCCCTGCAGGGAGATGCCTTGAGATTCCCTTCCGTCTTAACGTTTAAAAATCATTTCTATTCCACAGTGAAATCCATTTTGAGAACGAACTCTTTTTATACTTTTAGGACAAACATAGGAATAAATAGCATTCTTTGAAATCTCCATCTTTCAATGTATAAAAATAGGTTTTAAGAACTGGTTCTTTCAGCCAGTGAAGCTGGACCTACTATTTTAAAACAAGCTGCCTTACTTTTCGGGGGGCGGGGGGAAATGGATTTGTGCCTTTTAAAAACAGAGTAAGGATTATTTTATGGAACTAAAGTGCTCTGTTCGGACTTACCAACTTTGGTTGTTCTTGGTACAAAGTGGACAGCGCTCACTAGCAGATCCGAAGCCACAACTCGCTCTGATTTAGGGAAGGCTCTGCAATTGCTGCTGGCTCATCAAACATTTCTCTCTTACACTCGTGTTGCTTTAAGGTACTCAAGACTTCTGAATTTGAACTTACTCTAAAACCAGACTTCACCATTTAAAAACGTTACCTAAAAGTACACATAAGCCACTTTAAGAAACATCAGCCTTAACTTTACACAAAGGAAACAATCCCAAAGAAAGCTCTGAAAAAAGGAATGAAACAGTTTGCTGGACAGAAGTTCAGTTTTACAGTCCTTTTACGGTTTTTGACTCTGTGATGAATATTACATGAGACTAAGTGCCCAGCCTTGGGCATTAAAACAAAATGTAACTGGTACAGAATTTTTTTTTTTTTTTGCTGTTGATTTTTGCTATTTTGAGAGGGTTTTTAACACTTGCAATGTGTGTTGAAATACAGTTTATTTAAATACCATTCAGTTTTAAAATATTGTTTAAAAAAAGTGGAAAAAAAAAAAGTTAAGGTTTGGCTTTCAGCACATGTTCCAGGCCACTGGAGAGACCCTCAAAGCTGTAAATAGTAAACATCGTCACCGAAAACTGCACGTTTCCTTCAGCGTAATACAGTATGACAGATTGTTCCTACCATTGTCTCAAGCTCATTAAGGCAAAGTAAATTGCATTGTCAGTTTTCATCACTTTAGTGTTGTAGGTCTGAAGGTTGTTCGTTAGAATACAGGTAACCTCCTCAAACGCAGGCAGAGCGAACAGAAGCATTTCAACAGTGTGTGCAATACTGCGGGTAGTGTGAGCTGGGCTGAGAATACACAAATCGGATTTTTTTTCTGTCATTGCATAGGAATAAAAAATACCTTTTTTTTTAAACCAACATTATGCAAATTTAGATTTTGGTTTCCACGAAGCCAAATCCGCTCTGAGCTGCAGATCGCTACCTGGACCGGGTTTGGTTTCTTGCCATCTCACGTGACCGCGCCTCTCCGGTGACGCTCATTTATCCTGCTTGCCTC